AGATTAGTGGAGGTCAGTGGTGGAGGTTACTCTGTGAGGCTTGCAGGGAAGATTCCACCATCCCTCTCCGTTCCCCTCCACTGTTCCTTCCCCCTTCAGAGTCATCCCGTCGAGCCTGTAGAAGACGAGCCACTGGCGCTTGCTGTCGGACTCCGGCCAGGAGTCTGGGCCGTCGGGAGGCATCAGCACTCCGTCCACCTGCGAAATCCTCTCATGTTTCAGGATCAGGACGCGGGAGAGCTCGATCCACCGCCGCTATCGCCAGCTGCAGCCGCAAATCTCACCTGGAACACGAGGCCTGGCTGGCAGGGACCGGAGAAGATCGTGGAGCGGATCATGAAGACGGAATCGGAAGGGACGAGAAGGACGGCGTCCTCCGCCGCGCAGGCCGCCTTCCACGCCGCCTGGAACGCCGCCGTGTCGTCCGTGGAACCGTCCCCGGCGGCGCCGTACGACGTCACGTCGAAGATGCAAGGGCCGTCGGAGCCTGGATCGTAGGGATCACTCGGGACTATCGGCTGCGCTGGCGAGTTCGCCGGAGGCGTCGAGATGGAATCCGCGCCGACGCCGTCGCCGCCGCTGCCGTCCGCGTGCCCTTCCCTCTGCTTCTTGTGGAAATGCCTCCTCCCGTCGCCTCCCCGAGCTCCCAGCCACAGCGCTGTGGCAACCGCCCAGACGGAGACGACTCTCTGCAACATTCCCATCCTCCCCTCCGTCGACACCGCCGGCGAGAACCTCCTCACTGCCAGTAAGTCCTCTCTCTCACTCTCTCACTACGTCGGAGTTCTGCAGGGGAAGGAGGGAGGGAGACTTTTAAGCGGCGAGGAGGGGGCGGTTATTTGGCCTGCCACGTGGCCAGAGAGAAAGCGAGCCCCGCTAAGTGACTGGCTTCCTTGCCACGCGTCGAGCGCATATTGGTCTGGCTGTCCCTGTCAAATGAGCCGCAGAGCAGTTGGATGTTGGGGGGTGGAAAAAGGTCACCTCCTCCCCCATACTCTTTTCTCATGAGCCTCTCGAATGCGCGGCATTCATTCCCAGAATGACTTCTCCATCATCCGTCCCCTTCCTCCCAGGAAAAAGTGCACCTCATCCCTCCCGTCCTTCTCACAGAGCCCAGACAGCCCTCCTATCTCTCTCTCTCTCTCTCACTCTCTCTCTCTCTTCCCTCTCTCTCTCTCTCTCTCTCTGGGCAAGATAGGCTCAGAATTTGCTCTCAAAAGCCAGCCATGCTCGTTTTTTTTTCTTATCCTCTTTGTCTCGGAGCTCCCAGCCGGTCGGCGGAGGCGCGGGGGTGGGGATTGGTGGCGCCCGGAGGTGGCGGTGGGGGAGGTTGGTGGCGGCTCTTGGGAATCCCCCGTGACGCTCCATTGGCCTTTAGCTTCCTGTGCAGGAAGATGGCGCGGGGAGCTCGCCACCACCCCCTTTCTCCCCCCCTCCTCACGGGTCGACCTTCTCTTTCTCTCTCTATCTCTCTATCTGTCTGACTGTTTCTCTCTGTGGTGCTAGGAGGCGGGAAGGCTGACGAGGGGGTGCGTGGAAAGCCGGCCGCCCCTGGTCTACTTCACGTGGAGGGAGGGGAGACAGAGACCCATGCATGGGACGCCACAAGGTCCAAGATCTCGGCGTCGGTCGCCGCCGGGGAGGGTGTCGGCGCCATCCTCCGCCGTCCGATCTACTCCACCTCCGTCCAAGGTTTCTCGCTCTTCGCCGAAGTGCTGAACTCTCCCCCAAACATCGCCAGGTACTCTCTTTCTCTCTCTCACTTTCTCTTCTCCTTCCCGACGGGATCAACTCCCAATGAGGATTCCTCACATGTGGCCCTGAGAGCACCGGGCCCCGTAAACTTGAGGCTCACATTCATTCTCTCTCTCTCTCTCTCTTTCTCACTCTTCCCCGGCCCCCGTCGAAGGTCCGGTAGGGACGAGCAGCAGGACAAGGCGAGGGAGAACCGGTGAAGGATGCCCTAGTTGTTGGCCTGTCGGATCTATATCTACATTGGCCAGAGAAGACCGCCCACATGTCGAGTTGCCTGCAAAGTATTGATTAAATGGTATATTAACTAGGCTTGTCATGTCGAATGATCATGGGTTGTGGAGCGTCTTACAAATGCCTAAATTGGTCTCAAATAAGGTGGGGTATGCTACTCAGTAGGGTTGCTCAAGCTTGGATGAGGATTTTCTTGAAGTAGAGATCTTTATTTTTTAAAAAAATCCACCATTGACTAGGTCAGATTTGGATGGTAGTCCATTGGATGAACTGGTGTGAGGAAGGTTTCTCAATTAGGCAATACAAATAATAGACAAAAATATGAATTATGTCAATTTTATAGATTTTTCTACTTGTTAAGAGTCATTGCTATGAATAAAAGAAAATAGTATTAATACCACCATAGAAAGTATGGATGTCCAAAATATCAAAGTCAATAGGATGAAGATTGCAATGTTGAGTACAGATAAAAAACACTAAGAAGTGATATGGCAAGATTTATATGGTTCTAAGAAATATTTTTACATCCATGAAGAGAGTTAGAAATACTTCTTTCATGGAAAAACAAATAAAAAGAGGCTTTGTAAACATGTCTAGATCTCTTTCATCGACTTGATGTTGAATACCTTCTTCTTCAAATAGAAAAGAAAGACCGAAACAACGAGGAGCGAAACACTGCCTTTTTCTCCTCTCACAAATCCTAACTTTTTTCACATCCTCATCACCTCTCACAACTCTCCATAACTCACACATATCTTCTCCCCTTTAAATATAAGAAGTGGAGGGAGGTAAGGGAGAGAAGTTAAAAGATAAGGAGAGTATCTTGTCACTGATGTGGGTATGTTTTAATAGATCAAGGGTCTGTTATAACAAATTCGTTCTCTCCCATATCATTTAATATCTCACTAATTTTACTAGTTAATAATAACATTCTCCACTTTTGACTAGTTCAAACTAGTTAATACAATTAATATATACTTTTTAAAACAGGACTAACCCCTTTTTTCTGGATCTGTGTCTTAAAGAGAGTTGTCACCATATCAATATAAATATTAGTATCTTAAGTAGGAAGCGTCACAAGTTAGATGCCATCATTTGAGATAAATTCACATAATTTATGAAATGGAACATCAACATATTATACTATCGATTGATAAATTATATATTTTGCAAGAAGAATTTCACTTTTGACTATCCAGTGTATAGATAGAACTTGATTATTTTAAAGTTTCTTTACAAAAGTGTGACTATCTGTACTATTGACCTCCAACCTAGAAGATCTCCACCAAGAGTAAATATATGTCTTGTTGTAGTTCTATTATTGTGATTACTTGCATAATTTAAGTTAATATAGCCAATAAGAACATCATCTTTTATTTCTTAAAATAGTAACTTACAACTAATGTATTTCTAAGATAACACAAATCTACTTTATAGCATTTTAATATCATTTTATTATATTATTTATAAATATTAATAACACTAAATTTCTGTGTTAAATAAAGTATACTACATACCATGACATTCATTGGACAACCGACCTCATTTATACATTAAACATCTCTTGTTACTCTTTATTTGTTTTGTGAGACTATTACAAGGATATTATGAAATATTTGCTTGAGGGGTACTAATAGTCTTGGCCTCTATCAAATTGAATTTGGTTAATACCTTCTCAATGCACTCTTGCTTTACTGATTCTTTTCAAATCTCCATACTTAATATCTTATTATTACCAAAGTCTTTCATTTATAAGTATAAATCAAGTTTATTTTCAACTTTGTAATCTCATCAAGAGACTTGCATGCAATTAATATGTTAGATACAACATGGGTAAAATAATAGAACCATTATTAATAAACCAGAAATATTCACAATTATCATTAAAGGTATTCAGTTATGGATCAACTAATTGTGACTTTGATAATTTTTTAGACATTATTATGAATTTTTGAAAAAAGTGATAATATGGGATGTAAAATTAATATATATTGATGTATTGGATGAGATTAAAGGAGTGGATATTATTTTAGAAACGAACTAAGACTTAGACAATATATATTTTTTACAAACTACTTCAAAGTCTTATTAGAGATATAGCTCTTAGATCATGTGTATAAGTGTACTAAAACATACATGTGAATTAAATATGTTATAATCTTATGGGTAAGCTTTATATTTAAAATTTATTTATAATCTTATGGGTAAGCTTTATATTTAAAATTTATTTATCAAATGGCTTTACTTATATAAGCATATGAGTAACTAATAAAAATGTATTTGAATGAAGAGAAAAATGAAATAAAATTTGAGGAAAATGATCAAGACAATGATTTAATATGTTTACTTAGAGGCAAAATGATTGAGAAGCTTGATCTTTCTCAATAAAATAAGCTGTATATGAGAAAATATCTTGTATATTTAAATGATATGACCAATCAATAGAAAGTAGATCCAAAAAGAAATCCAAGTTGAGAACCTCTCATCCAAATTTGAAGTATTTAAAAATTTATATATTTTTAAAATTTTAAATTATTTTATTATAATTTCTGAATTTGTGCACAACCCATTAAGGCCCACCTTAACTTAATTGTTTGACCTGATAAAGGCAAAAAGAAGGCAGTCAACTTACCTCATAAAGGGACATTTTGCTCAAATTTGGGCAAAGAGAAAATATGGTTGTTGCTTTAACATGCATTCTTTCTCTCCATCAACTCTTCTCAAGTCTTCAAGATCTAAGGGCAAGGTTTAATTCTTTCAAGAGAGTTGCATGCACCATTTTAAGTCTAAAGTATTTTCTCCCTCAGCTCAATACCTCTTAACTCTTTCATTAACTCTTGGTATACAAAAATGATATTTGAATGCTATGATAGCTTTGTTCTAAATGTTTTGTTTGTTTATTTTGATTTATAGTGTGCGGACTGATTGAGACACTTGTGATGTGTCATCAATGCAGTCATATAGATCTTTGAGGCACATAATGTGTCTATAATAAGAAAACTAAAAAACATAAGACTTCTAAGTTTAGGGTTCTAGGTTGAGGGGCACAAATTTGTGGAGTTTGAAAATGTAAGAGGTTATTGATCTCTATAAAATCATGTGTTTTAGATATTAAATAATGGAATCAAGGCGGAGTCCTTGAAAGAAGGTGTAGATCAAAAGAATTTAACCAAAAAATCTTAAACTTCGATGTGCACAACCTCTTATTGATTTTTTTTACTTAGTATATGAATATTTTAAATATATATTAACATAGAGATATATTGATATATTAATATATATATTTACCTAATCAAATAAAAAAAAATCATCTTTCCTCTTGATTTATTCAATTATCGAGGAACCAATAGAAGAAAGATGAGATAAAGGTAGACCAAGATGAAGAGGATAAGATGAGGGAGATAGTGGTGAGACAAGGTGGTTGTGTGCTAGAGTTGTGGTGAGACGAGGTGATGATGAATTGAACCATCGATGAATTCAAGTAGCAATGAGACAAGGTAGTGGCAAATTGAAGCAATGAAAAGGTAGAGTCGTTGAAAGATAGGGCAATAGTGAAATGAGTCAAAACGTTGACAAAATGATGTGGTGGTGAGACGAGGCCAAAACAAATTGAAGCATCATTGAGGCAAAGTGAGACAATGGCAAGGTGAGATAGTAGAAATCAACATATGCCTTCAAGTAGAGGTGGGGAGTTACAAGATAAGGAAAAAATATGCTACCTAATTTATTTGTGAACCAGCTTAATTTTTTCATTGGTGAATTTAAAAAATAACTCTAAAAGATAGAGTTGGAGTTATGACCTTCTAACAATCGTGTTTGTTCCTCATGTTTCTACATGTTAATATAAAAATATTTGATTTTCTATATAGTTGACAATGATCTTACTTCTTATCATACATAGATCTCTTAAGTTTGAATACAAAAGCTTCTCCATCTTCTGAAATAAAACCTTCTAGTTGTCATATGCAGGCTTATTCATGAAAAAATAGTTTTCTAATCAGGCTACTCTAATTTTAAAACCATATAACTGCCATTGTATGCATAACTCTAATGTATTTGTGTTTTACCACTAGTGACACCTAATTTCAATTTTCGTCTTACTCTTTATAAGTTTGGCTAACCCTAAGTTTCACTATTTTTGAAGAAAATTCGTCATCAGACTTACGCCCAATTGCCACCTAAAATATAATAGGGTTTGAATACATAATACTAAAAACATAAGTTACTATATTATAAAGACTTAATAACATCTTAACTTCTCTTCTTGCACATCCTGTTGCAATAAAGAAGGTTTCTCTTTGATGTACTTGCATAGAAAATCATCATGATGTAATTTTGTTTTGAATTCCAACTATCACCTTCATTCAGCTCCACCTTAATTGAGTTACTATTATTATTATTTTAAATTAGTATGTTGAACTCTCTTTAATGTTGAATCTTCATTAAATATCACATATCTATTGAGGTTTGTCTTTTAGGTTGTTATATTACATATCTTATAACTTTTGACATCATCTTGATATCTTTAAAAAAAAAGTTTACTTTGACCTAACATCTAGTCTTCTCCACGTATTATCCCATATTAAGACAAGTAGTACATCCAAATATATGTAGAATAAGAATAATATGCAAGTTTATCTTACCAAACTTTCTATAAAGCTAAGTCCCAATGATGTAGAAGGTGATTGATTCATCAAAAAACATGCAGTCCTTCATTTCAACTATTTAATTATTGCACTGTGTGTGAAATAATTAAATGATAAACTATAGCTATTTTCTCTTTTGAGGTGTATTCAATACCACTGTTGATATGTAAAACTTTCATAAATTGAAACATATCTCACCAAGCCCAACTTTTCTGATGCCTCATCTCATCTCCCAACTCTCCTTAATTGACACACATCTTCTCCCATGCCCCTTCCCTTTAACTAAAGGGAGAGGAAGGAGGGGAAGAGAAAAGGGAGAAAAGGGAGGGGTTACAATGGATAGGAATCTATTATAAGGGATCTGGGTACATTTTAACGGATGAACAACCCACTAATTTGATTAGTCAATAAATAACAAATCATAGTGTAAGGCACCTAGTATGTCATAAGAGCAGCACCCCCGGTCGACGTAATGGCAACAAAAGGGGGAGCTTACTGCTATGTAGGATTTCTCTAGCAGCCAACCATCAACAGCAGCCGGTGCCAGTTCATGTGAAATGGTGCTTGATGGGGATCATCGGCGTGTCTAAGAGATAAAGTGATGATGAAGTTTCCAACAAATAATTGTGCTGGTTGTCAAAATTATGTCCTCCCTAACTATTTAGGTATCATAGAATCATTTCACCAAGAATGCCACTCCATATTTGTTATTATGACCCTAAAACTTGTATTTATAAAAGTATGGTACTCATTAGGATACAGTTTTGACCTAGAAGTGTTGATAACCCTGACTGCAGACTAGGGATAGTGTTGGATCGTAGAGCAACCACCCAAATATAAAACATGATCAACCTTAACATTAAATTTATTTCGAGATTAGTGGACTATTAACTTCAACATTAAATATTGTCGATTCTTCGTCAAAAGACAAATTGACAAATACGAACATAATGAATGCATCCGCAAAATGGAAACACATTTGAAGTATTCTCTCTCCTCAAACGACCCTAGGGTGGAAGTGAGTCACATTAAACTATGTGCCCCAACCAACTAGGCTTTGGTGATGAGATGGGGCTGTAGTGTAAGGCGATTGACTCAATTGTTAGGGTAGAGTTTGATGGGTTCGAGGAACCTTGAGCATACTAATGGAGGATGATGACTGCCACCAACCTCCTCGACTCCATCTCCAGTGGGTACTTGACTTGTACTCCAACTGTCATCGATGGTTCCTGATGGGGATGAGGAGAAGATTTGAGTGTTTTGAGAAAACTACTTGAAGAAATAGGATATTAAATATGTAAATATTTTCACATGAAAATATTAAATATTAAATACTTGAAGAAAACTACTTATAAATATTTTCTACCACGGGTTTATTGAATATGTAAATGTTATCCTATGATCTCTCACATGAAAATAATGAAATGAACAAATGCAATGGAGCAAGTGGAGAAGATATATAAAGTCTTGAGCTTTATTAGATGATGGATGATAATTGACCATATGCGTTGACTTTTGACCGTTGATCGTTGACCGCGTGATCTAGAGCGGACCAGTCGGTCGGTGGAGGTGGCTCCAATGAGACGGACTGGTGCGGTTCGAAGGAAGTGGGCCGTTTGGTCCGGGAAGCTACGGCTCACGATCTGGCTTCGATAAAAACCCATCCGGAGGGAGAGAGATAGGGGCGATGCGGGCGGCGGCGGCGAGAGAGGGGATGAGGGTTGGCGACGGCGGACGGTGGGTGACGGCGGTTGCGAGCTACGGCGAGAGTGGCGGCGGATGATCGTGGAAACGGTGGCGGAGGATGGTGGCAGTGGGCGGCGGTTCGAGGGCTGGCAGCAATGTCAGGGGAGGGCGAAGGTAGGGCTGTGGACGGGCGGCGATGGTGGTCGACGAGGTCTAGAGCGGAGGTGGCAACGGCAGCGGGAATAGGGAAGGAGAAGTGGAAGAGCGGGGGGGGGGAGGGGAGGGGTGGGAGTCGAAGCTCCAGACCGGGAGCGGTGGGGGCGACGGTGTCAAACGACCAGGTAAGCAAGCTACGCTTCAACTTCAAAATGCACCGTCCCAAATCAGAGGTCTTCCGGCCAATTTATAGGCCTCAACTAGCAACTGAAACGGCGAAATGTAATGAAAATAGCACTAACAAAAGATGAACGGCGGAAGATTGAGTTCTCGACGAGATCCACGTCCTTCACATTTCACGTCTCCAGCTCTTCGTCTTGACCGGCTCCTCATTCTTCAAGCAATGGGGAGCTGGATCATGCTGCATCAGCTCCCAACACAAAATAACTCTTCCGTTCGTCCTCTCGCCACTAAGTTCATCATCCGGGGACAGGGTCCGATGGTGACGGCTGCCGTTTGCAGGAAGCAGCCGCTGCAGGCCCTCAACCGGACCGAGACCAAGACTGCGCCGGCAGCCGCGGCAACGGTGGCGTCGCAAGAAATCTCTTCTCAATCTGCTGAGCCAGACAAGCAAGTTGCGTTTGCCAGCGATTGGTATTGCATATCGCCTGAATCCACGGCAGAGAAACGTCCTGGCTATTTGAGAGGGGAGAGGGCGGAACATTGAGAGAGACGTCGAGAATATGGAATTCTTTCGTATTAACGGAGGTCAACGAAGAGTTACGAGAGGCTCTTACGCTCCTGGAAGTGACGTAATATATTCGTTCCAATACGAACGGTATTCGGAAGTTATCGTCGGAGCTAGGAAGCCATCGTTAGTCACTCTGTCCTCACGTCAACAACAAGAAACATTTTTTGTACGCGCCAAGCTCAACGTAAAAGTTCCCATGCTGATGAAATCCTGATTTCCCACTTCCGCCGTCCTCAAACACTACTCTCTCCCTCTCTCCCTCTCTCTCTCTCTCTAGCTATATACTTGTATTACATATGTATTGGGGAGCGAGCGAGCGAGAGAGAGAGAGGAGAGAGAGGGGGGAGAGAGAGAGAGGAGAGAGAGAGAGAGAGAGAGAGAGAGAGCATTGAAGCTGAGACGTTAATTAAAGCTCCATAGACATGACTCTATCATTTTATAGCTGATGTAGTAACGCATGAAATTTAGTTTTTTCAGTCCCATCTTTTGTAGACCAGACAAGCTGCTCTCTCTTTCTCTCTCTACAAGGGCGTCGTTTTCTTTAAAGTAAAAACTCAATGTGAATCTCCTTGCGGAATATATTTGGTGTGACGTGAATTAAGGAAATATAAAACGAACAACTCACCATGATAATATAGACAGAAGTATTTTTTAAGTGGTTTCCTACGTCCACTGGCAATGAATACATAATAACCAATTCCCAAGAACTAAGAGAATCATTCTCTGATATTGGTCTTCAAATAAAAACCAATTCCCAAGAAGGAGAGAAAGTGACCGTTTATTTATACGCAAGCAGTTGGGTCACGTGCCTAACGAGAAGCGTGCCTAACGAGAACCTCCCAAGAAGGTCGCCTCGAGAATCATTCTCCAGGCTACGTGCTCCATTAATGAGTCAAATGCCGACAGGCCATTTATGAGGTTGAGGCTTCGAAGTGCGTCTTTAATATTCTTAGACCCACCTTATAACCTCCCACATTCTCCTTTGGCCACCTAATGGACGAGCCCACCTGCTGGATGTCATGTTAACCACCTCTGGGTGGATCGCTGAGTTCCATATTCCTCGATTTCATCAGCCCAAACGCAACCCTCGTCGTCTACGTATCTCTCATTATCGTATCTAAACTGTTCATGACGGGCGACTCCACCGATTGGACCCTCTTTGTCTCCCTAAGTCCCGTCGATCTGTAGATGGCTTCCCAGCCGATGGAAATCCAACGAGCGAGTGGCGGCAGAGACAACCGCCGCAACCATCCAGCCGGAGAAGCCACCCTGCTGTCATTGGAAAAGAGGGTCTGGTTCGCCATCGGCTTGCTTACTCTTCTCACCGTAGCCTTGGTCCTGGGAACACATAGCCGGACTCTCATGTCTGGCGCAGGATTCTACGAAAGCAAATAAGGGCAGCATCAGCAAGGGGATGGTAAGTCGTTCCCGTCGTAGGCATGATCTTTCTCTTACGTCATCTCTCTCTCTCTCTTTCTCTCTGTGTCTGTGCGTTGTTTGGTCTTCACCATCCGGTGATATGACACCGAAAACCTCTTTAAACATGAGCATTCGGCAGTTTTTTGGCGTTGAGTTTATGAAAAAAATGATTAATGAAGCCGCTCCTCCACCTTCAGTACCTTTCCCAAACTCCCTGACCACGGGGGACAGAAGTACGGTTGGGGTGCAAGAAAATTATATGCCATTTACGTAAGTTTTCTAGTCTCTATGTATGTATATTTACGATATGGAACATGAAAACAGTCAATAGAAAATTAAAGAGGTGACGCTGATTACACGTAAAGATAGGAGAATATTCAATTTTCTTGGCTCATTTTATTTTAGCTTGCAGTCGATCTCCTCTCATCCCTATCTAACTATCAGATTACGTCGGTGGTAATGTCAGGTTTCGAGGCACGAACCTCCGCTGCGGGCTCCGACGCGCTGAGAGACAAGTACCTCGACGGCCTTCTCGCCGCCGGCTTATACGAGGACTCCTGCCGGAGCAGGTACGAGGCGGTGAACTACCGCCACCTTTCCCCCTACAAACCTTCGGCTTACCTCGTGCAGAAGCTCCGCGAGTATGAGGATCGTCACCGGAGATGTGCGCCTCACACCAACGCCTACAAAAAGATGCTGCCGCTCCTTACAGGCGGCGTCGCCGCCGGGACGGTGGAGGAGTGCAAGTACCTCCTGTGGACGCCCTTCTCAGGGGTTGGAAACAAAATAATTTCTCTCACGTCGTCGTTCCTCTACGCCCTGCTCACGGAAAGGGTCCTCCTCATCGATAGGGGAAGGGATTTCTCCAAGCTCTTTTGCGAGCCCTTCCCGGGGACTTCCTGGCTGATTCCCGAGGACTTCCCGATGAAAAACCTCTACTTCAACCGAGGGGACCCCTTGAGCTACGGCAGTCTGGTGAGAGAGAAGGGCATTGTCAATCCTCTGCCATCCTTCGTCTACGCGCACGTAGTCACCGACTTCGCGCAAGAGGACGCTCGCTTCTTCTTCGAGGAGGACCAGAGAGCCCTACGGGGAGTCCCTTGGCTTCTTGTGAGATCGGAAGTCCACTACGCGGCGGGCTTGTTCTTAAACGCCGACTTTGAGCCAGAGCTTTCCAGGCTGTTCCTGGAGACGGAGACGGTGTTCCACCACCTCTCCCGATACCTTCTCCACCCGTCCAACAAGGCCTGGGGGATGATCACCAGGTACTACCACACTTATTTAGCCAAGGGCAAGGAAAGGTTGGGGATACAGATCAGGATCTTCGACCATAACAATTCTCCCTTCGAGAACGTCTCGACCCAGGTCGTCAACTGCCTCATGAAGGAGAAGCTGCTGCCGGAGATAGATCGGAACGACCCCCAAGTCGTGCCCAGCAGATGGAAGATTATGGACGTTGTTGTTACGACTCTGCACTCCGGCTACCTAGACAAGATCCGAAGCATTTATTGGGAGCACCCAGCCGCCGGCGGCGTGCTCGTCAGCGTCCATCAGCCGAGCCACGAGGAATATCAGTTGCTGGACGACGAGAGCCACGACATGAAGGCGTGGGCGGAGATGAACCTGCTAAGTTTTTCCGACGTTCTGGTGACTAGCGCCTGGTCGACCTTTGGCTACGTTGGGCAGGGCCTCGGGGGTTTAAAGCCGTGGATTCTCCTCCGACCGAAGAGCCCAGGCCTGCAGGAGCCCTCTTGCGTCAGGGATATCTCGATGGAGCCGTGCTTTCACCTGCCGCCGGCGTATCTGTGTGAGCAGAAGATGGACGGCAACAGGGGCAAGGTGGCGCCGTACGTCACCTATTGCGTCGATGTCGAGGGTGGACTCAAGGTACTTGCCAGGAATAGTGAAGTCCAGTAGGAGAGACAAACGTGACGGCCGACGACGATCAAGAGAAGCTATTTAATGATTCTTTCCTCTCCCCCTGAAGGAAAAAGGACACGTCTGATTGTGAACGTAGGAATATTCTCTGAACTACATATATCTATCTCGTGTGTGATCGCTCAGCTCTTTTTCCCTTTCTATTTTACTGTTTTTCCCTCTCCATCTCTCATGGGTGTATGCTGCATTATCCTTGACTGTTGAAGAAGGGGAATGAGGACGATTGTTCCCAACAAAAGCCTATTTTAAACTCACCCATTCACAAAAATAGGTTTATGAGTTGAAGAAAACATTGAAAATAAGCGCCATGATGTGAGAAAGAAAACAAGTTCATGTGAGTAAGTGGGAGAGAAAGAAAGAGGGAAAGAGAGAGAGGATACGAAGAGTGAGAAGGAAGACGGCAGCTTGGCCTTATTTTGTAACGCCTGTACAGACAACTTGTTCCTTCTTTACTCTCCAGTTTCGTTAAAGCCCCCGATTTGGCCCGACAGCTTATTTAGTCCTTAGAGATCCAGTAGGGATAAGAATTCAAAGATATCAGATGTAGGAAAAAGCTGGCGCTAATATAAATTGAAAAAATTATTAAAAAAATATTTCGAAATATTATGCCCATGTGGATAATCATGATCTCATTCTTCTATCAGCCAAAGTGGGTGGGACTATTCCCACGCAGCTATTTACAAACGCTAACAATATTCTCTTGACTTTCCGTGAAGACCAAGTCTAGCCTAGGCCCACTCGTGTTCTACAAATTGCGATGCACTTGAGGGCCCAGTAATAAGTCAAGAAAAGAGACTTCAAATGAACCCCTTGGAATCCCAGTCCTAAATATTGAAGAGAGAAGAGAGAGAGAGAGAGAGAGAGAGAGAGAGAGAGAGAGAGAGAGAGAGGGCAGTGTTCCGGGTGGATCATTTTAAAGACTAGAGAGTACCTTATTATGTTCTAATAATATTTTTCTTCGTTGGTAAAATTTCAATGCCAG